TTATATAAGCGTAATAATTCATCTGTAAACCTAGAAATGTACAGAACATGAGGAAAGGGATGTACCCTAGCTCAGAAAAATGTTATTGAGTATGTCAATGCCGTTGTAATGAAATGCTTCTTCTAATAAACAAAACAAAACAAAACAAAACAAAACAAAAAAGCCACTTCTTTGTAATTTTACAGCATTGTGAATTAAAATTTACCATATACTTTGAGTTTCAACTTTATATATTTTGGGGGAAGGGTTGCCTCAAAAAACAAAAGAACAACAACAATAATAAAAAAACATACACACTATGACCATACAGAATTTATTCCTGGAATGAAAGGGTGGTTTAACATCCTAGAAACTGATCAATGCAATCTACCACATTAAGAAAAAGGAGGAAAACACCATCATAGTGACACAAAAAAAAATCCAACAAAATTCAAAACCATTTAATACTCAACAAGCTACTTATGAAAAGCCCATTTAATATCCTATTCAATGGAGAAAGACTGAAAGATTTTTCTCTAAGATAAAGAGACAAGGATATCCCTTTTATTTAATGTAGCATGTGAAATCTTAGAGCAATTAGGAAAAAAAATTAAGTCATCAACATTAGAAAGAAAAAAAAAAACCAAAATTATGTTTGTAGATGACAGTATATATAGGAAACACTAGCATCTGCAAAACCAAAAACCTATTAGAATAAATGAGTTTAGTAAAGTTGTGGCATAAGTAAAACAAAACATCAGCTCATTTCTACACACTACAGTGAGCAAATATGAAAAGGAAATTTAAGGACAATTTTATTTACAGCAGCATCCAAACTGATTTGCTTGGGAATAAATCTAAGTGCGACAGCAAAAGATTGATTACAGAAAGTAACAGAATCAGAAATGACTTGAAAGATACCTGTGCTTATGAATTAAAGACTCATTAAGTTATCCACACCACCCAAAGCAATTTACAAATAATGCCTATCAAAATTCCAAAGGCTTTTTTTGCAAAGAGGAAAAATTTTTCATCCTAAAATGAATATGGAAACCTAGGGGACCTCAAACAGCCAAAATAATTTTGAAAAAGCGGGCTTTACTCTTCCAGTTTCAAAATACATACAAAGAAAGCTGTATTTTAAAAGTACAATACTAGGTTGGACAGATGGCTCAGCAGTTTATAGAGAACTGGCTGCTCTTGCAGAGGACCTGGGTTTGATTCCCAGCACTACATGGTGGCTAACAACCATCCATAACTCCAGTTCCAGGGGATCCAACATGCTCTTCTGACTTCTGTGGGCAAACACAGGTATACTTACACACATGCAAGTAATACACTCATATACATAAAATAAAAAATAAATAAAATATTTTAAAGGTGCAATACTGTTATATTTATATTAACATAATAAATATATATTTTATTATTATTATTATTATTTGTGTGTGTGTGTGTGTGTGTGTGTGTGTGTAAGAACACCCGTGTTGTGCAATGCCAGGGGAGGTCAGAAGAGGGCATTGGATTCCCTGGAACTGGAGTTACAGATGGTTTTTAGCCACCATGTGGGTGCTGGGATTGAAATCTGGATCCTCTGCAAGAGCAGCCAGTGCTCTTAACTGCCATCTCTCCAGCCCTATAGGAACCATTCTAACGAATGAGGTAGTATCTCATGTAGACTCTTTTTCATGCCCATACACATATAAAAAAAACCCTTATAGTTCAATGGTATTAAGTGTCTAGAAGTAATTCGTCAAATTACCTTCTACATGGGTGTCAAGATCAATTAAAAGAGGAAAAAAAAACCACTTCAACAAAAGTGTAGGGAAAACTAAATATCCGCATGACCTTTTAAATGCAATAAAAAAATAATAGTAATCTATATACCTATATATAACTCTCTTCAGAAGAAAACATAGTGGAAAACTTTTACACACTGGATTTGACAATGATTTCTTAGCTATGATAGCAAAGGCCTAATTAACAAAGGCAAAAATAGACAAATGAGACAAACTGAATAACATTGTCTGTCAAAAGATACAATAAACACAATGCAAAGGTAATCTGTAAGAATGGAAGAACAGGGCTGCCTAAATGGCTCGGCAGGTAAAACACTTGTAGCACAAGGCTGATGACTGGAGTTCAATTCTCTGAATGCACATAAAGGTGAAAGGAGAGAACCAATTCCACAAAGAGGTCCTCTGACCTCCATATATGCCTCACCCTCCTCCCCTGCCCCCCCTCCCCCACAAAGTAATAGAAAGAATGGGAGAACAAATTAAATCATGACTCATTTGGGAAATAAGTTAAACCTAACACATATAGTTGAAAATACAAAAAGCTATTCATTAATGTTCCAATGCTTCTGAAAAGTCAATATTCTAGATTGCACAAAAGCAGAATTGCTAAAAACAAACAATCCTACTTCAAATTTTATCTGATGTAGAGGTAACTTCAGAATACATAAGGAACTCCTACATCTTAACCCCAAGAATAACCCAATAACCCAATAAATAAGCAAATGACTCATAAATACTTCTCTAAAGAGGATACACAAATTGTCATAAAAAGATGCTCATTCACATCATTAGAAAAATGGAAATGAAAATCACAGTATAGCAACTCAAATTGATTAAAATGGCTACTTTGAAAAAAAAGACAAACAAATAAAAAAACCAGTAAAATAGGTGTTGGTAAAGATATGGACAAACTCAGAACCTGAATGCTGTAACTGCTATGAAAAACAGCATGGAAGTTCTTCAAAAACCTAAAATACAATTATCATATGATTCAGCAATACTGGGTAAAAAGGGTCTTGAAGAGGTATTTGTAGGATCATGATTATAGTAGTACTATTTAAAATAGCCTAAAGGTGAGTACCAATGTTCTTCAATGGAGGAATGTATAAGTATGAATTTCACATGAAATACTATTCAGTCTTTAAAAAGAATTTTAAAATTCTGCCACACTGCAATATGGATGAGCCCTAAGGACATTATACTACTTAAAATATGTCAGCCACAAAGTCAAATACTGCACTACTCTATTTATATGAAGTACCTAATGCAGTAAAAGTCTCAGGAACATGATGTAGAATGACAGCTAACCAGAGCTGAGGGAAGAAAGGGAGATACTGTTTGATGAAAGCAGACTCAGATCTGCAGAATGAAGTTCTATGTTTCACATCAATGTCCAAACACTCACTGCTGCTGAGTTAACACATATAAAATGGTTAAGATATTAAGCTTTTGTTTATAGTAAATAAGTTAAAAATTAATGTTAATAGGTAATTCATGACTCATTGTGAGAACTATTAAGCATAATACACACAGTAGAAAATGATAAAAATAGTCACTCATATCCTAAAGCTTCTGCAAAGTCAGTCTGGATTTCACAAACATACTGTTCAAACTTACCTTGGTTTGTCTCTCTTTTCTCTCTGCCTTTCAAAATCCCGTCCTCTGTCCTTTGCATCTCTTGGCTTTTCTTCTATCCTATCTTTCACTTTATACTTTTCTTTGTATTTTTTCCCCAGAGCAATATCTTCTAGAATAGGTGGAGGAGGACTAGGAGTACGTGGCCCTTTCTTTTTACTTTGGTTGCTTTTTGAATTCCTGAGGGTAAACAAAGCTATTGTTAGAGACTTGAATATTTCTGGAATCCAAACTAGATTAATTTTTATGTGCTTTAAAAAAGCAGCAACAAAAACTGGACCTGGTAGTTCATGCTTTTAATCCCAGCCACACTCACATATTTACTCCAAAAGGTTTCTCCAGCCTCCTCAGGGAAGCACAAAGTTTAAATTAGGTTCCACCCTTATCTCACCTTTCCATCCCTAGTATCTCACACATCCAAGGTCATGAATTCTTCCCAGAGCCAGTTTCCAAAGGGTGGCTTTGCTATGTTAATTTTCAAACAAACCTGCAAGCATTCAGTACCTTTTTGGGTGGAGTACCAGAAGTTGCCAAGGAAATGCCCAATATCAAACCCAAGAGCAAGTATTTGCTTGTGTTAATTAAAAGTCATTATTCCAGATTATGTCCTTTAATAAAAGTCCTTCTGCCAGGCATGGTGTTGCATGCCTTTAAGCCCAGCACTCTGGAGGCAGAGGCAAGCTGATCTCTGTGAGATTGAGACCAGCTGGTCTACATAGCGAGTTCCAGGACTGCTGGAGCTACAGAAAAGACCCTGGCTCAGAAAGACACACACAAAAAATGTCATTCCTACAAGAATGGTGGAAGAGAGTTTCATGAAAGGAAATAATACTGTAAAATAAAACAGCTGTTTACGTTTTTAGATCCTACAGAAAAGTAGATGAAAATGTAAAAAAGTCACCAGGTGTGATGATACATGCCTGTAATCACAGCACTTGGGTGGCTGACGAAATAGTACTGCTCTGAGTTCAAGGCCAGCATGTGCTACACAGAGAAGACCTGGTCAGTTAGGACTACAGGGCAAGACCCCCACAAAAAGAAACAAAATAAAAAAGTAAAAATGATCTGTAACTCTACACGTCAGCACAACTACTATGAAATTGACATATTTCAGTATGTTTTCTGTGTCTCTTCCTTTCTATGTAGCTATTTGTTATTTAAACCTAGATATCCACATACAAAAATGAAGTTGGTCCTTGATCTGGTGTCATATACAAAAATTAATTCAAAATGAATTAAAGACTGAAACATGAAAGCTAAAATTTAAGATTCCTAGAATTTAACATGGAGGAAAATCTTGACAACACCTATGGAATTCAAAGGAAAAACAGACAAATACGGTTAAAGAGTGAAAAGACAACCTTCAGCATGAGAGAAAAATTGTATTTATGAATCATATGAGAGGGAGCCATACACTTTTTTTCATCACTGCAAAATAGTTCTTTCTCTCTCTCTCTCTCTCTCTCTCTCTCTCTCTCTCTCTCTCACACACACACACACACACACACACACACACACACACAAAATCATCTTTCATAGTATTTCCTCTGGAATGAACATAGACAAAGTATAGGCACCTGTCTATAACAAAAAGAAATTCAGCCAGACTATCTTTTATTTGGTACTTTAAAATAAAACTGGCTAACCCCGCCTTCTACCTGGAACAAGGGCTTCACTGAATTGCATTTTCATGTCAACATTCTTTTCTCTAAGAGTAAGAAGAGTGATTAGTATTTCACATCACCTACTGCTATTCTTGAGAAAGACAAAGACAGGAGTTTTTGTTGGTTTTTCTTTACCAAGTTCAGGTACTCAAAAAAAATTTTTTTTACTAGCAATCAATGAACTATTTCAATCCGAAATTCTATTTTATTTCCCACTCCTCTGTACAACCCATGTGTCTTAGTTATTAAACAGTTCTGCATCTTTTTGTATCTCAGATTAAATATCTGTCAGCCCCATCTATACTTCTAGCCAAACTTGTCTTCAAACTGAGTATTCTGCTTTTAAGTTACAGCCATTCTACTCATTTTATTTTTTTAAATTTTATTTATTATTTTATTTATTTTATTTTTTTATTTTACTTTTGGTTTTTTTGAGAAAGGGTCTCCCTGTAGCTCCAGCTGACCTGGAACTCACGATGTAGACCAGGCGGGCCTTGAGTTCACAGAGACCCACCTGCCTCTGCCTCTCCAGTGCTGGGACTAAAGGCGTGTGCCACCACATGTGGCTCCTTCTAATTTTATATTTATACCTAACTATTTCCTTATTCTGTTACTTCCAGTTGGAACACTGCCCCCCAGTGTCTTCAACACAAATCTTTTTCAAGATCAATTGTTCTCAAACCTGTCAATGCAACATTCTTGTAAATGTACTAAGTTTATAACTCTAACATTTAAATTTGCTCCTGTTTTCTGTACCCACGCTTCTGTCTAAGTCATCTGCTCTGAGTGTTCAGTATACTTTGGAGTTTTCAAGGAACTCCTTTTCATATATGGAGTGAGTTTTCAACAGAGCATATTTCAGAACCTTGCATTCCAGTCCAAGATTCCTTAGAAATAAGATTACAATGGATAGTATAGCCCTCAAAATTGCTGTAAGAGATAAACAAATTAAAGCATAAAAACATGTGACTCATGGGTAGCAATGAGAAAATCAGCTCTCATGATCCTTATCCCTATGTTATTATGGTTAGCAAGACCACTTAAGGAAGAAGTTCCTAATATATGATGACCAAATCTGGTTTTTATCCTTGCCTTCTACCAACAAATCTGGCAGCCACAAACCTTAATATATTATTTTTATGTGATGGCTCAAACTTCTTATATGCCTGAAAGAAAAGCAATGAATGTCTCTATTTCTAAACATTTGCCTACTTTAAAGAGAAACTAAACACCTGCCATTTGCACTAAAATTTTAAAGATGAAAATGGTAGATGACTCTTTGATGAAAGGTGTGTATTTCCACATCACTGCATGTCATAGATTCTAGCTGGATGGTGACTAATCTTTGCTCCTGGCCACTGCCAAACCATACTATCTATATAGTACATTCCTCTAAATTAGATGTGTGGCCAAAGGAATGCTAGTGGAAGTGACAGAAGATACATCCGATATGACTCTCCAAGGACTCTCATTATGCCAGACTAAGTAAATGCAATATTCGGTTCTTTCCTTCACACATTCATTCTTTGAATTTCCTTCAAAGTTCAAGGAAATATAAACATAGTGTGATGGTTCAAATCAGAATGTCCCCCTTAGGCACCAAATATTTGGACATTTTGTCCCCAGTTGGTGGCACTGCTTTGGGAGGTCTTAGAAGCTGTAGCTATGCTGGAGGGGGGCAGGCTTAGACAATTCTTAAACCCTGCCTGCCAGCTTTCAAATAGCTCTCTTGCTTTCTGTGCCTGCTGAAGATGTGAGAGCTTAGCTTCTGCTCCTCCTCAAGCCACCTCTGCTGCCATGCCTCCCTATCACAACGGACTGTAATTCTCCTAGAACCATAAGCTCAAATGAACTCTTCCTTCTTTAAGTTGCTTTGATCAGTGTTTCTATCACAGCAAGAGAAAAGTAACTAATACATATGGTTAGAAGGTGTCATATTTAGGATAATAGCTATTAATAAAAAATACTCATTTTTCTTTTTTCTTATGTTTGTGCATGTGTGCATAGGTGCACATGCTTGTACATGGAGAGGCTGGAGGGCAACCTTAGTGTCATCCCATGACAATCACTTCCTTCTTTTGAGACAGTGTCTCTTATATGTCTGGAGTTCACCAACTAGGCTAGACTGGAATCTTCCTGTCTCTGTCTCCACAATACAGTGTGGGAATTAGAAGTGCACACTACCATTCCTGGGATTTTTATGTGGTTTCTGGGGATCAGACTCAGGTCTTTGCTTGCAAGGCAGCCCAGGAATACCCACTGTAATTCTACCTGAGTAATACATAAACTGCTGCTGTGTTAAATCAGTAGTACTTTGGGATTTAGCTATTACTGTAACCAGAATCATCCTTAAAAAAAAAAAAACTTACTAAGGTAGTAAGTTTTATATGACTTTAAAAAAATATGTAGTTGGAAAACACAATTATGCTATACTACATTGTTTTCCAAATGAAGGGACTAAAATTGGTTTTACATAACTGAAACTGACAAGCTCTTTCAACATTTTAAAGTCTATTGGTTATTGTTTTAGTAGCACTGAATCTTTTTGTTTAAGGCATAGAGCGCACTGTCAACTTTTATCATTTTTAGATCACTCCCTAACTATCCTGAAACTTCTGATAATATTTCATATTTCTTTGGACAAAAATGTCTATAAAGAAAACTTTGCTGAATAGGTTAAAAGTGCAGATATTCAAAACAGATTATAAATCACACCACATCACACACCTCAGGATACTGTAATACTAGATCTTAGAATGAATATTAAAAAAGCCATCTCTCAGAGAAAAGTATGCCTTAATTTGCCAGTAATGACATCTGTCTATTTAATATGATAGCCTACAAAAACCAAAGAGTTTGAAAGGGTTTGTTGATCTGTCAATTCAGGTGATTTTACTGGCATTGGTTGAAAAACCCTATTCAATTTTAACTGAAATTCAAATCCATGTATTTAATACATTTTCTAGTAGTTTATATGATTCATCAATGAAACTGACAGTTGGCTATCTGGGGGCTAAGGATGTAGCTCAGTGATAGTTGCTAAGCATGCACACAGCCTAGGATTCAATCCCCAGCACTACCATCCAAACAAAGAAACCAAACACCCAAACAAAACAGCAGTTGACTATTTGACAGACTCTAGACAATGTAAACTGCATTAAAAAAAAAAAAGCTTTATTAGGACAGGTGAGATGACTCAGATGGCAAAAGTTACAGGATATATGTGTATTCCAATTCAATAGATAAAAATATTTTTTTTGTAAAATGATACATACTGAAGAAATTATAACCACACATATCACACAAAATTCCAGAAAGAATTTAGAAATTCTGAAGCTTTCAGAGTTAGAAAGCTCTGAAGTGACAGATATTTGTTTCATTGTTCTCTATAACATTAATTAAAAAAAGTTCTCGAATTCGTAAGAATTACCTTCTATAATGAAGTATTATTTTAGCAACACCCCAAACAGATTTGCCAGGTGGGTACTATCCACTCCTACTGACCTCTGCTGGTCCAACAGGGGAGAAGGCATGACAGCAGGCTTCCTTTCTTTCTTGCTAGTTGAAGATGACTTGGGGCTTGATTTGTGCTTTGGAGACTTACTGGACTTTCTTAGAGATGGTGATGGAGACAATTTTGATCTAACCACTTCTGGTGAAACCTATCAAAGTAATTCAGGTCAATTAAAAAACTCACAAAAAAGTACGTACCTGAAAGTTATTTTAAAAACCCTCGGACTGGTTAGGTGTGATTGCATATGCCTTTAATCCCAGAATTTACAAGGCAGAGGCAGGTCAATTGAGGCCCACCTGGTCTACATAGTGAGTTCTAGGCCAGCCAAGGTTACACAGTGAGATCCTGTTTCAAAAAAATAAACAACAAAACCAAAAAAGCCTCAAACTAAAAATTAAGTGCTATCATAATCACCATCTAGTGACATCAGTCCAATTCCTGAACCCATGCTTTTAACCGATATGTGAATTAAACTATCCTAACATACACTAGCATCAAGAAAGCAAATTAGGAGCTGGAGAGATGAGTCAGAGGTTAAGAACACTGACTATTCTTGCAGAAGACCCAGGTTCGAATCCCAACACCCACATGGCAGCTAACAACTGTTCGTAACTCCAGTTCCAGAGGATCCGACTGCCTCTTCTGTCCTCCGCGGGCTTTTCACGACACGGGTGCACTTACCTACATACAGGCATAACACTCATACACATAAAAATAATAAAATACAGGCTGGGGTGATGGCGCACACCTTTAACCCCAGCACTTGGGAGGCAGAGACAGGCGGATCTCTGTGAGTTCAAGGCCAGCTTGGTCTACATAGTAAGTTCCAGAACAGCTGGGGCTACAGAGAGACCCTGTCTCAAAAAGACCAAAAAAAGTAAATTATTAGCTGGGCCTTTAAACCCAGTAGCACTCAGGAGGCAGAGGTAGGTGGATCTCTGCTCTACATGGAGAGTTCCAAGCCAGCTGGAGTCACAGGGGTACTCTGTCCCAAACAAAACAAAACAAAACAAAACAAAACACAGCAAATTAAACCTATGAGCCAGGTGTGGTGGTATAAGCCTTTAATCCCCAGAAGCAGTAGATTTCTGTGAGATCAAGTGTTGCCTGGGCTACACAGTGAGTTCAGCTGAGGTTATATGGAAACCCTGTCTCAAAAAGAAAAAATAAATAAATAAAATAAGTTATCAAATTTAAAGATCTCCTCAGAAAAATAGAAAACTATTTCCAAACAAATTCTGTCTCTATACTTTAGAAAGGGTAAACAGGGCAATCTAGAAATCCTATGGCTCTGAAACATAATGTAGAACTCATTTTATCAGGCTGTTGATTACAAGCAATTGAGCATCAATTCTATTCAACAGCATAAACATTTGTTACTTAAATGATTAATCTTTTATGGTGCAGCTGATACACAGGGAGCTAATCAACATATCACCATCCTAGTATGATTTAAGATGCAGCAAGTAGCTGATTTTTTTGATCAATACCTATGTTAACATTAAAAACATATACACTAAAATAACATACCTCCTTTTGAATAATAATCTCTTCTCTCTTATCCATATTTTCTTGTTCTAGCTTCATTAATTCTCTCTGTATTTTTTGCCGCTTCATTTCCAGCGATAACTCATGAACATAATCATAATTAATATCTCCATTGTCAGAATCTTTAAAATAAAAATTCCATTGTTTGTTAGACTTTATTATATGTATATAAAATTTTCAAATAACGTTTATATAAATTTCAGGACAATATTCTTTAAATAGAATAATATACTTCATTTCTTTTTCTTTTGATTTTTGGAGACAACTGTAGCCCCAGCTGGCCTGGAATTCACTGTGTAGACCAGGGAACTCTCAGAGATCTGTCTGTCTCTGAGTGCTGCTTGGATTAAAAGTGTGACCCACCACACATGGCATTAGCTACATATTCAAAATGCCAAAGCCTTCTATATCTCATGCAGGATAAGATGTGCCGATATCTTTGACTTTTACTTTTTTTTTGGTCTTTTTGAGTCAGGGTCTCCCTGTAGCCCCAGCTGTCCTGGAACTCACTATGTAGACCAGGCTGGCCTTGAACTCACAAGAGATCTGCCTGCCTCTGCCTCCCGAGTGCTGGGATTAAAGGCATGCACCACCACGCCTGGCAACTTTCACTTTTTTTTACAAAAAATTTTATTTTTTTATGTGTATATACGTTATGCCTACATGTTATGTAAGTGCACCTGTGTCATGCAGTGCCCACAGAGGTCAGAAGAAGGCGTTAGATCCCCTGAAACAGGAGTTACGGACAGTTTTAAGCCACCATGTGGGTTCTGGGATTTGAACCTGGGTCTTCTGCAAGAACCAGTGCTCCTAACCACTGAACCATCTCTCCAGCCCTTGACTTCGATTTTTAACTAAAGTTAAACTATTAGGTGTGGAACATTACTTCTGTAATTTTTTTTCATTTTTATTGTGAGACAACTAATTTACATCTGTACAGAATAGCTTTAGTTGCCAACTTGACAAACATGGGTTGAGGGAGCCTCAACTGGGGACTTGCCTCCATTGGACTGGCCTGTGGCCATGTCTGTGGAGCATTTTCTTGATGTAGGAGGGCCCAGCCCACTGTGGATGGTGCCACCCCTGGGCAAGTTGTCCTGTGTTGTATAAGAAAGTAGGCTGAGCAGGGGTCAGGGGAGCAAGCCAGTAAGCTGGGTTCCTTTATAGCCTGTGCTCCAGCTCCTGCCTCCAGGTTCCTGCCCCCAGGTTCCTGCCCTGAGTTCCTACCTTGGGCTCCCTAAGTAATGAACTGTGACCTGGGAGATTTAAGACAAATAAACCCTTTCCTCCCTGAGTTGGTATTGGTCAGTGTTTTGTCACAGCAATTGAAAAGTAATTAGAACATCCAAAACTAAAGTTAACTAATTTTAACACTAATGTGTTCTCACTACTGATGTCTAGCATTTTTCACTCTAATTGACTTGAAATATCACTTTAGAAAAGAACCAGCCATCCCTTTCAAAGGAACTGATGCGATCTTTCCAAGTCCAATCTCTTGAAACTGATATGAGGGTTGGTTTATTTAAAAAGAAAGAAAAAAGCCGGGCGTGGTGGTGCATGCCTTTAATCCCAGCACTTGGGAGGCAGAGGCAGAGGTAGGTGGATCTCTGTGAGTTTGAGGCCAGCCTGGTCTACATAGTGAGTTCCAGGTCAGCTGGGGCTACAGGGAGAACGTAGATAGATAGATAGATAGATAGATAGATAGATAGATGGATGATGGATGGATGAAGAAAGAAAGAAAGAGAAAGAAAGAAAGAGAGAAAGAAAGAAAGAAAGAAAGAAAGAAAGAAAGAAAGAAAGAAAGAAAGAAAGAAAGAAAGAAAGAAAAAGAAGAAGGGTGGTGTAAGATCTTTGGCTACAGTACCCAGAATTTCTCAGGAGCTATTGGCACTGGTAACTCAAGGCCACACCCTCAAGTGCTAAGAATGCCAAGAAGCCTAGAGGAAGAAATACACTAACTTCCATCCTAACCCTTGACCACGATGAACTTGACCACAAGCTGAGGTGATTTTTCATGCTATTCTGTTAGCACTTTAGGCCATTTCTCATTCAGGGGTAAAGAAAAAAACTTTAAAAATACTAAACATAGTTCCACTTAAAAACACAAGAAAATAGGTATGTTTTCTATGTACAGTTCAAATGTACTACAATGCCAACTGTCCATTTATGCTTGGGGGCAGAGTTGGTAATTGTATGTTTATTACCTGTATGACTAACGTGATTACTCATCATGTTAGAGAATGCTTCTAAGTCACTGGAATACTATTGATTAAAATGTCAGTGGTATATTTAGCAAGGCAGAAAAAAAATTAAAATATGTAATAAAAATATAGTCAAATTAAGGAAAGGATGACGTTCTTTATAAAAGTAGACTTTTTAAAAAATATTTTATTATTTTTATTTTATGTGTATGCATTTACTGCTGGCATGTAAGTAAGGGCACCCGTGTCATGCAAAGCCTTCAGAGGACAGAAGAGGCTGTGGATCCCCTGGAACTGGAGTTACGTATAGTTGTTAGCTGCCATGTGAGTGCTGGGATTCAAACTGGGTCTTCTGCAAGAACAGTCAGTGTTCTTAACTGCTAAGCCATCTCTCCAGTCCCTAAGTAGAGTTTCTTAGAGATTCTTAGTGGTAGCAATGTAAACTAGCACATCCTGAAAAATAACTTGCTAATATGATGTCTTAACATTCATCCTCTTTTTTAAAAAATATTTATTTATTATTTTCATTTTATGTGAATGAGTGTACTGCCTGCATGTGTGTAAGTGCACCCATGTTGTGCAGTGCCTGCAGAGGTCAGAAGAAGACATCGAATTTCCTGGAACTGGAGTTACAGACAATTGTTAGCCGCCATGGATGTACTGGGATTCAACCTGGGTCCTCTGTAAGAGCAGTCAGTGCTCTTAACAGCTGAGCCATCTCTCCATCCCTTAACATTCACACTCTTTAATCTAACAATTTTATTTCTAGTACTTTACCATCTGAAAAAAAACCCTATAAAGTCTTATATAAGGATTAAAGATGATAAATGTTTGAGAACTTCTTTTTGATTTATTTATGACACATTCTCATTTAAAGTCTTAAGAAAACTGAGTACAGGGTGAAATCTGAAAGTCCCTGCATATTCCTCCAGAGGCCATCTTCACCAGTGTCAGCATGGGTAAGAATTTAGTGTTGCAGCATACAAAATGAACCTTAGAGCTTGTTCATTAAAGCAATGAACTGCCAAGTATTGTGGCTCACATCTGTCATCACAGCACTAGGAAGGCCGAGGCAGAAGGATTCCAAGTGTGAAATCAGCCTGAATTAGAGGGAGATTTTGTATCAAAACTAAGAAACAAACAAACAAACAAAAAACCCAATAATGGAAACAAAACTACAAACACTGCCCTATAAGAAAAATCTTTCCATGTCACACACCGAACTTAATCATCTACATTTTGACATCTGCAAAGCATTTCATTAGATGAATATGCCATGACTCACTTGACTGTTTCCTTCTGATAGACATGGGGTTTGTTTTTAATATTTTGCTGCTATAATTGGGGCTTCAGTGATACTAGCCTTGGATCATAAGTACAAATATTTCTCTATGACAAATTTCTCAAATTCCTTGGTTGGAATCAGTGAATCTAATTTCTGTTTTCACTATGGCCAAACTGAACCCCCAAACAAGTATATCAATGTAAAATACCACTTAAAAAACACCAGTCTTCATTTCTGCCAAACTTATGGATGGAAAATTCTGTCTTTGCTTTGAAGAGCCTTTCCCTTCAGTAAGGTTGAACACTTATTGGCCATTTCCATTCTTAGCTTTTGTTTTGTTTTGAGACAGAGTATATCTGTAACCTCAGCTGGCCTGGAACTCACTATGTAGACCAGGTTGGTCCCAGTCTCACAGAGATCTACTTGCATCTGCATCCAAGTACTGAGACTGAAGGCGTGTGTCACCACACTTGGCTTCATTCAATATTTTTTGATGAGTTTTTAAAATTGGACTATCTTTTTCTTAAACATCAGTGACAGTTCACTATATAAGCATATAGTGTCATTAATAATACCTATACATGTCAAGTATTTTTTCTGGTATATCATCTATTTTTAATTTCTACATCTATTTATACAACTTTTTTTTTTTTTATTCTTTTGTAACTATATCTTTTGTTACTTTGGAGTTTTAAACTTTATTTTAGGACAATGAACCTGTCTCTAAGATTACCAAAGTAATTTCATATAGTTTCTACTGCAATGATATGTTCATTTTGTTACTCCAAATGATGAGTAAGGGAATCATAAGAAAACAAGAAGGAAAAAACACAACAAAAATCACAAACCAGATTTGGTCTGAGGGCTGGAAATACAGAAGCAAGAGGATAATGAAAACTTGTAGGCATGGTAAGAATTCGTACTGTCCTAAAGAAAATTGATATTGGAGAATTTTAAGTAATGGAGTAAAATGTACTGACGAATACTGTAGGACTCAAAGATTACTGTAGGATTCAAAGTTGAAAAGTAGAGTGGGAGGGAGAGGGTAAGAAACAGGTGTAATACATAATGTCACAAAGTCTCATATCCAGAATTCCTATAAAGAGAAATAGCTAACACAATAAGCAATAGGTAAAAAAGTTTTGAATAGACAGTAGACAAAATGGGTTATATAATGATCAATAAATATGTGAAAAGTTTTCAATTTTATTAAGTACAAAACCATAATGAGATATCACATCATGGCTAAGATGAAATAATCTACATGAGTAATTAGTCCAACAATGTTTTAATCTGGCATCATCTATACCAGAGACAAATACACACAAACTCAAGAGAAACAGATATGCATTTGCTTTAAGACTCGTTTAGTTTAGTAGTATCACCTTGTTCCTAATAGCCCCAAACTGAAAATGACTCAACTGTTCACAGCAGTAGTTGGATAAGTTATGGTGTGTTCATACAATCAAATGTTATATAGCAGTAGGAATTAATTGTAATTACAATCATGAATAATAAAGTTTATGATAGATCTCATACATTCAGTTAGCAAAAGAAGCAATGCATACATACATGATAAAAGATTCTACAGACTCCACTTAGACTTATACTTAACTTTAAAAAAGCTTCTAAAGAT